TTTTGTTTGTTTGTTTTGTTTTGCTGTGGATGTTTTTTTGGGGTGGGGGCGGGGGCGTGAATGTTGTCTCTCTCTCACTGTAGCGAGACGGGGCAGGTTTTGCGAAGGTCCTTCCTTGCCGCGCCGACCTTTTCGCTCTCTGGGCGTCTGTAAAAACAATAGTTTAAAAAATCCACGTGGGTAATGGCAGTCTGTTCCGTGTGCTGCCAGTCTCGCTCTGGGGTTTCTGTCTGCTCCAGGGTGGGGTCTCCTCAGGGTCCTCGGTGGGCTGCGGTCCTGCTTGGTCCTCTAGTTGAGTCCGATCGGCCGGTCGGTGTTGAGGCGCGTTGAGGCTGCGTCTCCTGCCTGTTGGGCGACCGGTCTGGGCTGTAGGGGCTGCTCCGGGGAGCAGGCCTCTGGCGCTGGGGTTCCCCCAGAGGGGGGCGCTGCGTGGACGTAGGCCCGTGAGGTGTGAAGTCCAGTACTTTGCCGTGTAGGGAGAACCCCGAAGGCGCACCCCCGGGGGCACAGCCTTCGCATCGGCCCCGGCGTTCAGTCAGCCCGCAGGTCCGCCCGTCCCCCGGCGCGGTTGTACTCGCCAGTGGGCTTGACGTCCGTCTCGACGGCGCCTCCGGCACGGGCAGCCCAGCGGCAGGAGGTAAAACCTGGAGAGGACCGGGCCGGCTGGCACCGGGTTCCTCTGCCCCGGCGAGACGCCTTGCGGCGCGGCCTGTGCTCTCCCCAGGGGCCCTCCAGGGCCGTGTTCCCAGGGTGCCGGAGTCATGCTGGGGAATCGGGCTTCTCTGGGGGCGTCTGGAGCGCCCGGCTCCCTGGGCTGGAACCGGACCGCTCCGGCGCCAGGACGGGTCGGGCAGCGGGTTTAACCAGCTGGAAACCCAGCCCGGCCCCGCTGGTTCGGTCTCACTCACGGGGAGTCCCAGAGAGCAGGGGGGCGGATTCCCGCCTGCGGAGGGCGAGACTCTTTAAGCGTTAACTCGGAGGCCAGGAATAGAGGGAGGCGGAGGAGGAGGAGAAACCCTATCCTCATCCCAGCGTTCCCAAGTCTCTAGTCATCCTGCGGTGCTTCCCGGCGGACGCAGAGCCCGATTTAGGCTCTCCTCAGCGTTTTTACCCCCCCCTCCTACCAGCGCCCGCTGAGTCCTCTCGTCTTCCCCTCGCTGTGCCTGCCTGTGTGTCTCGGCTTCTCCTCCGCCTCCCTGCCCGGTGTGTGCGCTCTCTCCCCCGGGCTCCGGGCTCCGCGCTCCGGGAACGCTCTCGGAGGGCAGCGCGAGCCCATCCTGCTCCCTCCTCCTCTCCCCCTGCCTTCGTCTCGTCTCGTGTCGCCTCGCTTCTCCGTCTCTGTGGTGCTGCCGCGCGGAGCCATGGGGAAACCCGAGCAGGACACTCTGTACAAGAGCTGCCTCCGCTGCCTCTGCCTGTGCGTCGCTGTGAGTACCGGGCCCGTCTCGGCCGCGGGTGGCAGGG